TATTTTCTCCGTATCATTCTCAGGTAAAAGGAACCAAGGCTCCTTGGAGAAATGACTGATACCAGGACTGTTGTTAAGCACCTTTGAGTCAGTTCCAACCCATAGTGATTCTCTACAGGGTTCCCAAGACTGTAAATCTTTTGTACGAACAGAAAACCTCAGCTTTCTCTCTCGGAGCAGCTGTTGGGTTTGAACTGCGCCACTGTGTTCTCTGATTTCAGGGACTGTTGGTGGTGGTGGTTAAGTGCTGTTAAGTCAATTCTGACCCATAGCGACCCTGTATAGGGTTTTCGAGGAGCAGCTGGTGAACTTGAACTGCCAACCTTGCAGTTCAAACTGACTTTGCAGTCCAGCGCATTAATCCACATCATTGCACCAAAACTCCAGTGATTTCAAGGGTAGGACAAATAAAATCCAAATGAGCTTGTGCTACCAAGCAGTGTGGGGCCCAAAGAATAATGGAATTTTGTTGAAAAGATACAGAAGACAGTTTCAAGGTGCTCCCTAGTAACAATTTGGACATCAAAATAAATAATAGTGATGGATTATGATGCACTGGGATAAAGGAAATCTGGAAATTGGACAGTTATAAATGAATTCATAAGTTTGATTTGATGGGAATTGTGATAATTACATGGTTTCAAAGTACTTACAAAATATTGATTGGTAACAAAAGGTAAAAGACTAACTTCCACGTAGGGCAGTCTGGTCAGAATCAGTATAGTCAGAGTGGGTCATTGGAGTTATGTGCTACAGGTATGATACAATGAGAGGACAATACATTACTTCTGGGTATTCCTGTGGAAGATGCATATTGTATGACAGTCTTCTAAGTAGCTGGCCTATACTTCCCCAAAGTGCCAAAGTCCAGGCAGCTGAGAAAATGTTCCAAACGGAAGGGGAGTTAAAGAGACACGAAAACTAAGCGTAAGATGTGATTCCACACCAAATCCTTTTGCTATAAGGGACGTTATTGGACATATGGTTAAACTTGAGTGGGGTCTGTTACTATGTCCATGCTAATTTTCAGATTTGATGGTCGCATTATAATTACGTAGAGAATGTTCTTATTTGTAGGAAATTCACACCATTCACACCAACCTATTTGTGGGTGATAGGTTAGCTGCTTAGTTTCAGAGTTCAAGGTAAATAGTTCTTTGTGTTCTGTTTGTGATCATTTAAAAATAAAGTTGATGTTGATATTATGGAGAACTAAGTGAAGGCAAAGGAACTCTGGTAGCATAGCGGTTAAGAATCAGGCTGCTAACTTCAAGGTCAGCAGTTCGAAACTACCAGCTGTTCCATGGGAGAAAGATGAGGCTTTCTGCTCCTGTAATGATTTACAGCCTCGGAAACCCTGTGCAGGGTCGCTATGACTTGGAATCGACTCCATGGCACATAACAACTTCAAGACAAGGCAGGCAGACAAGAGATCTTATTTGATGTGTCCTGCTGATGATACAACACGGAAGAAGGTGGGCCTGATCATGAGTCAGACTTTATGCTGAGAAAGAGACTGGCCGAAGGGGAATGAGTGCATCTGTGCGTAGGTTGTACCTAGTAGAAAACTAGGATTGTCTTAGCAAAGGCTGCTACTGAATCTGTTTTCTTGGGGAAGTTTAGGGTTTTTCTGGTTGGCTGTCCACACCACGCAGGAGTTGGGGCAGGTACAAGTTCTGTGCGGGAGGGTGGGAATGACTCTTTCTTGAGTCCCCAGACTCATCACTGGGCCTGCAGTGCACTGCCGCTGGGCCCATATTGGATAAGTCATGCTTCGTTGGCAGCATTGATTTTGTTTATTTGTAAAGGGACAGAATATGAGATTACCAAATAAAATATAATTTCAAGTGTTATTAATGAAAGAATATATTACATTCACTTTTAATGAGATTCTGGTGTTGCAAAATGATTCCATGTAATGAATCCCAGGAAATCAATGAAAAGTTTAATTACAGTCGTGGCAGTGTTGTATGAGAATATTGCTCTGGTCCATTTTCCTTGTACAATTTATCAATCCCCCTGCCTTTCTTTCTTTAAATTAATTGCTTTGATGAAGTGAGCATAAATACGTTCTTTGTTAGCTTTTGATCTCTTTTAGAAATGTGTTGTTAAAAATTCAAGTTTTTCACCTTTTTAATAGTAACTAATAATAAATAATCATTTATATATCTATAATCTAGACATTTTTATAACTAGGTCGGGTTTCCAGATTACATATTTAGTTATTGTTCTGTCTTACTAAAATATTGTCTTTTTTTTTTTTAGCGAGTCACTGTCTGTGTCTTCTGAACTTACAGTCGACCAGACCCATCATTCAGACACTGATATGCTTCCTGCATTGCTCATCACCTGATTAAGCTTTGGGGTGAATAAAAAGGAAAGCGAGATACTTCTTCCTCTGAATTAACTTAGACTTTAGTTGGCACAATACTTAGCAATTTTGCTTTCATGTAACTGCATATTCTCTTCAAAATGAATTTTCTTTTTAGAGCATATCCATTTTGACAGTTAAGTAATTGTGGTGCTACCTTAGCCACCGTGGTGGTAATTGATTTTTTCTTTTCTTTTTTATTGGAGTACAATATGGAATGTTGATCTAGATATTTAATTTATAAGTATCTAAAGTAGTTATTTTAGAGACACTTGGTTTTATTTTTTATAAGAGGGGAGCTTCAAAAAGTTCATGGGAAAATGGAATTCAAAATTAATAGATTTTTTTCATGGACGTTTTGAAGTCCCTCATATGTTGAGAAAATTCACGTGGATTTTGTAAGTTCTTCTAAATACAGCTGTTGTTTATGTGGGCTCTACATTTGGCTTAAGGTTCAAGGCCTTGCAATTTAACCAGTGACTGTTTTGACTGATTTACTCGATGGAGAGAAGCAATTTTCGTAGTTCATTTTCGAAGGAGAAACCTGTAGTCCCTTTCCCTGCAAAGTCTCCCATTGATACCATCAGCCATGCTTCTTGGGTGGTAGAATTCTTCTGGTAGAACTGAGAAGTAGCCTGGGTGATAAGGAGATCTCGCTCCAGCCCTGACTTGTCACTGACACACTGTGGAATCTATGAGGGATCACCTAACCCATCTGGAGAGCTGTTGAGCTATGCAAAACAAGATGACTCTCATCCTCTAACACTTACCAGCCCGTCCGCAAGGTCTGGTGATTTATGGTGTGATATCTGTAAAGAAAGAAAAATGTCTCCTCAAAGAAGGGTGCTATTTGAGTATCGTTAAAGGATCTTTGTTTGCTCTTAAAATGGGGTTCTCTTTGATGCCACTGAATGGGTGCAGGTATGGCTAAAAGGACGATTATATGAAAGATGTGCTTTTCCTGTTGCATTCTACCCTGTTGGAATGTTCTTTTCAAGAAACCTACAATGACTGTTTTCAAAGTCTGGAATCCCTGCGCTGCTTTCTTGGAGGCATAAATTGTTACAGAATTAGAGAGCTGAAAGTTTCAGAATGTTTCCTCTGAAATCACAGGTTTTGATGGCTGCTGTTATGTACCATGTGTAAAGCGGTGTTCTGACTTGTATCATATCTGGGCCGGGGCCAGCTCTGCCCCTGAAGCAGAGGCAGTGAGGGGGCTGGGATGCTGCCTGGCCTGGAAACGCCCTGCTGAGCCCACCTCTCCTTCTCCTGGGTCCATTTCTCTGGGTGGCCTTCAGCTCCTAATTTTCTCCTTGTCTTTCATCGGAACCATATTCTTTCTTCTGTCTACTGAAACTTAACTCCTCTTTTCTGGAGGCAAACCTTCCCCCAGGAGATTCAGATGCACATCAAATTTGGGAATCATTGAATTAAAGTTAGGGCCTTTTGCCCAAAGTATATGCCCTCTAGAGACTTGTAGTTCAAAATGGCAACCTCAGCACATGTGCTTCATCAGCCGCTTGGCAACTTGCTTTTGAACTCATCCAAAGAAATATCAAGAAGCCGGTGTCTGTGCTAGAAGTTAGGAAAAGAGTTTGTTCATGTACTAGATAATATTTTTTACACATCTGATAAGTCTAGATTGAAGGATATGTCAAGCAACTGGTGATTCTTAGGTGAAATGACCATCTCTCTAGTATTTGCATAGGAGTTCAGTAGCTCCATGGAGTCCCGGTGTGGCGCTGTGGGTTAATGCACCAGGCTGCAAAGCCATTTGAACTGCAAGGTTGGCGGTTCAAGCTCACCAACTGCTCCTTGGAGACCCTATACAGGGTCGCTATGGGTCGGAATCGACTCGACAGCACTTACCCACAACAGTGGCTCCATAGGATAAGCACTGGTCTGTGAACCACAAGGTCAGAGGTTCAAACCCATCAGTCACTCCTTGGAAGAAAGATGAGGCTTTCTGATCCAGCAAAAATTTGAAGCCTCGGAAATCTTGTACAGTCACTGTGAGCTGGAACTGACTCCTGGGCACTTCACAATAACAATGGAGCATTTGCGTATTGATGCCACTAGTGAAGTCTGTCTTTCTGTCCTGCTTCCTGTGGTCTTTCACATCTTTATCCGACGTCCATGACATCACATCTATCCTTCTCTCCAAGTGTTATTTGTGCTGTGCCTTTCACTCTTTGCCACCTTGTATTGTAACTGTTGATGTCTGTCAATCATTTCCTTGTCAAATAAGGGTGCCGAGAGCAGGACTGAGACTACATACATCTGTATCCCTTACAGTGCCGAATATCTAGCCCCGGACTCACTGTGAATTAGGTGCTCAGTAAATGTTTGCTGAATAAGAGAATCACTGAGTCCAGAATATCTACCTTTTCTTTTACTCTTGAGTATAATAAAGTTAAAGGAAAACAGCATTTTCTGTAATGAACACATAAGATTTTTATCATTAGAAAAATAGATTTACAACAGTTGGGCTATATGTAGTTCGTATCATTAATGTAATGAATGGGTTTATGTGGAAGGCAGCTTGTTCTTTGTTTTTTGTGTTTTTTTGCCTTTTACCGTCTAGAACATGTGTTGGTAATAACATGTCTGCTCTGTTTCTGTGTTGCAGCTCTGGTTGTAAGTACCACGTCAGCTGGGTTTGCGTTGGCTCCAGGACCTTTCGACTTGCCCTGCTTCCTGCTCACTTTCGTTGGAACGGGCCTTGCATCCTGTGCTGCCAATTCCATCAATCAGGTCAGTTTGTCATTCTTCAGCTAGTTTATGGTATTACCACCTTGTCCCCAGATTGGCATACTGTCACATTTTAAAAGACTTCCCAAATCAGAAATGTGTACATGTATGTCTATGTATTTGGATGGATTAGCTCAGGAACTTGCTCTTTAGAGGTCTATGGGTTACATAAATGAGGTCAGTGGTTTTCAATTAAGTTTAGGTAACAAAACTATATTATAGAGTGTTTGCTTCACATAACAGGAATCCTTGGTTGAAAGTATCTGATTTGATTTATTTTATTTTGAGATCACTATTTCATGGTATTTTAAATAAGGACTCCTGGTGTGGCGCTGTAGGATCAGCACTGGACTGCGAACCACTGGTCAGCATTTCAAACCCTCCAATTGCACTGGACTGTAAAGTCGGTTGAACCACAAGGTTGGTGGTTCAAGCTCACCATCCACTCCTTGGAAATCCTATACAGAGTCACTATGGGTCAGAACCGACTCAATGGCACTTAACAAAAACAATAACAGCTGCTCCTCGGAAACCCTATACAGGGTCACTATGAGTCAGGACTGACTGGACGGCACTTAGCAACAACAATTTTAAATAAGCAGATACAGCTTTAAAAAAAATAGTAATTCACTACTGAGTTAACTTAGTATATGAAATCAGGGTACCTTTTTAAAATTAATTAGCATATTAGTTGAATATGCCTTTTTCTCCTATGATTTTAAACATCAAAATAGTTCCCTAAAATATTTTGGCCCTGCCTGGACATTGTGGTCTGCCTTAAAACTGTGGCTTTTTCATAAGACACTACCACAGTAAAAAAATCTTGGCTAAAATTTAAGGAGAGTTCTTTTCATCACCAGAACACCCAAGAGGAATCAGCAGGGTTTTAAAACAGGAACTCAAGTTACCAGCAAGAAAACAGATGAGTGAATATATAGTTAGTAGTCTGTAAAATACGTGGATTTTAATTTGATATTACTAAAATCAGTGTGATTCTACAATATATTAGCCACAATTGGGAGAAGGATCAGTCTATTTCAAATGAAATGTTTTGTTGCTATTATTTTTAATGTCAAAGGAGTCTTATGTTGTTAAGTGCCACTGAGTCGGTTCCAACTCATAGCGACCCTGTATAGACTTTCCAAGGATCAGCTGGTGGGTTTGAACCTACAGTCTTGCAATGTAGCAGTCCAGTGCATATCCTATAGTCTTATGTTATTGTTGTTGTTAAGTGCCATTGAGTTAGTTATGACTCATAGTGAACCTCTATAGGGTTTCCAAGGAGCCACTGGTGAATTTGAACCTTGTGGTTGGCTGTCCAGTGCTTATCCTACATTGCCATACCAGGACTCCTACAGTCTTATGTTGTTGTTGTTGTTAAGTGCCATCAAGTCGGTTCTGACCCATAGCAACCCTGTATAGGGTTTCCAAGGAGCAACTGGTGAGCTTGAACTGCCAACCTTGTTCAGACAGCTTTGCAGTCTGGTGCATTAACCCACAGCACCACCGGTTCAAACAGTGCTACCAATTTACCAAAAGTATGACCCGTTCCTGTAAACCATGATGCCCTCTCTTCCAGGCTGCTCCGCCCTTTCACTGCTCCTGCCTGTAGTTCTTGGTTAAATGATTAGCATGGCTTCACTATGAACATATTTTGAATGGACACTCCAGTAAAAAGCAGTACAAGTCAAATAGATTTTATTTTGTTGGTTAAGTCTGTTTTTCGGGGGTATTGCTGCTGCTTGTTTACGCTTTCATTATTGCTCTTATTAAGTTGTAGATTTTAGGTCATGAAATTAAGCCAAGGCCACATTTTGGTTTTCAGGCTCCGCCTTTAAACTGAAGAGTTGAACTGATCGTTGAGATACTAACTGCTATCTTCTGTCTAAATTACCTAGATTCAAAGACAAGATTTAATAGAAATATGGAGGATCAGAAAAAGCAATAATAAGTGTCAAATGGCTCAGAAATCCTAAAATATTATAAAACATAATGCAGAGTTGCCTTGAAATGGAGCTTGTTGGCCCCAAAAATACGGTTCAAGAATTCACCACGGTGAAGACCTGGTTGGCCAGCAGTGTGGCAAGACCTGGGGACTCTTGGGCCCAGAGTCAGTGACATAGCCACAGAGGACTAGAGTGGAGAGTGAAG